CAAACTCAATGGGATCAAACCATACTGTTTCTGTATCTTGCTTTTTTCACATGATTCTTTGAGATCATTCCAGATCAGCTTATATAGATCTCCCTAATTCTTTTAAACAGACATTTGATATTCCCTTGCATCATTAACAACATATACTGGTCAGTCAAGGACTCTTTGATTAATTTTTTTTTTTTTTGGTGTTGTTGTTCTGTCAAACTATGCTACAAAGAGCATTATTATACATACATACATCTTTCAGCATTTATGTTAATATATCAGCATGCAATATTGCTAAATCAAAGGGTAGCTGGATTAAAATAAAATTTATAGCTATTATCAAATTACTCTCTAAGCAACTATACCAATTAACGTCCCTACTAACAAAGCATTCAAATGTCTACTTCCTTGCACACTCACAAACACTGGGTATCAAACTTTTTAATCCTTGCCAATCTGACAGGGGAAAACTGATTTTGTTTTAATTTGCCCGTTATGATGAAGTCCAGCCTTTCTCCCTTTTGTTTACTAACCCCCTAGGAGTCTTCTTCACTGAACAGCCTGTTCATATCTTCTACTCACGTTTATTTTGCACTTCCTTCTTCCTAATTTCTTCTTCATATTCTTTTAAGATCCTCAATTGATTGGTTTACTAAAACTTTGCCCTTTGTCATGTATGCTGCAAATATTTTTGTAATTTTAGCAATTAGCTTTGACTGTATGGGAATTTTATTCCATTAAAGACGTATCTTTTATGTAGTCAAATGTGTTAATTTTCTTGTCTATAGGTTCAGCATTTTGGAACCTTTTAGGAAGGTCTTCCTTGCTTCAAGATTTAATAATAATTATTACATTATTATTATTATTATTATTATTATTATTATGCCATGATCAATTAGTCAATGGCTGCCATCTATGTGCTAGGAACACACTGAATGCTAGGGTAATATGGGGAAAATAGATGGTCTAAACTATGTTTAAATATAGCACATAGAGCACACAGTCTTCTCTTATGAGTATTATAAATAAATACAAAAAAAATAGAAAAATGCTCATAATTTTATTCTTATTCATCATCTCACCTGCCACCCAGAAGGAACACTGTCACTGTGCTGGTCCTCTAGCGGCAACTCACTTTCCTCCCTCTGCAAATGGAGTCGAGGGCAACACAAACTCAGAAGAGTCTAAAACCTATTAGTAAAATTCAAGCCATATAGATACCAGAATGGAAGCTGTAGGTAAAGAGGTGAGTACATAAAATGTAGTAAAAGAAGAAATAGGTTAAAATATGAAAAAAAAAGTTAGGTTTTTTAAAAAAAAATTACTAGATATTCTGCAATGTTATTTATGCTGTTATTTTTTGTTTCATTGTGATATTCCACTAAAACTTTTTTCCTTCTTTAAATGACACATTATGTATTGCTTTACATAATAACTAGTGAAAAAATTAAGACTGTTCCATGAAGAGTGCTGTAGAGTCAGATTATAGCTCATATCCTAAATTAGAGGTTGAAAAAAAAAATAATAAGATACAGTCAGTCACTGTCAGACATAGTCAATGTCAAACTACTCTAAAAGGCACATACTGTAAAACATGTGATTCAAATATTTATTTTGGTCTAGAACACTTATGTTAACAGAAGTTTCAGTCATCCGAAGATTTAAATGGATACTATGTCCAAGATACTAGTGAGATATAAAGATGTATAAAGCTGGGAAATGGTAGTCTAGCTGGATATTCAGGAAGAAAAGAAAATGTGTTTGGCAAACTTGTTTCAATCTCTTCTACCAAAGTTAACAAGAGGTGCTGAGAAATTTCAGGCAATGAAGGTAGTGAAAATAGGTCGTCTGTTTATAACTGCTAGTTAGATGAGAAAGAACTGTGTCAATTCTTGCTAAAACAACAGAAAGATGAACTATTAGTCAAAAAATTCACCTAAATTTCTTTAAATGTAATGTTACATTATTCATGTTATATTAGAGAAGTCTATACTTTGAAATTTTATGTTTTATAGATTGTAATGATTTATTTTTTTGTACACAAAATGAAAGTATCCTAGTATTAACAGAACAGGAAGTTATAAACCTATTTTCTCAGGAGTGGCTAGAGATACTTTTAAACTAAATTTAGTAATTTTATTGACTGATTATCTTTGTAACCAATTATTTTAAAGTCAAGATTGATGGAATAAACCTAATGCCCCATAGTCTTCTTGGCAAAAGGCTATAGTAGATGTTTATAGTGTATTTTTATAAATGTGGTTCTCATACCTGTTTTTCAAAATGTAGTTATTACATCTTAGCCTAAATTTTGCCTCTCTTGGCCATGGAAGTTAACTAGACATATCCACAAGTTCTACCCATCAGTTATAGCCTTAGGCCAAACAAAAGAGGTCACTTAACACACTTTTGGTCCCTTAGGTAATTTACTCAGGTTCCATTATCTGACATCAAAGTCAAGTTTACGAGAGAAAAACAGCAACAATGTAAATCCCAGTAGTCTGGAGGTGAATTTAAAAAGCTCCCAAGTCAGTACTTTCCTCAAATGTTAAATAATTCACTGTGACATTATAGATACAAGCCTCCAGCAAAAGTTACACTTGAACAATTAAGGAAGCAGGAGCCAAACGAATGACTTCAGGGATAGAGAAACAAATTAATGGTTTCTCATAGGACTATGCCAAATTACGTTTTCACATTAACAAGCGTGTATAACACCCAAGCATCACCAGTGACGTACTGCATCAAGTTTGATTATAGAAAATAGCTTGGAACCAGGATTATTCATTCCCAAAATGTAATTATGAATTCTATATACTTGGCTATTTATATTATTTGGAAATTTTTTATATTCATAATGTACTCTTTTGCAAAGTTCTTTTACAACTGGCTTACAACGACCATCTACCAAATGCATTATGTTCCTGTGAAGAATCAGAAAGTGATGCAGCTGTGTCTTAGAGGCTAGGTGAGAAATTCGAAACACCAGATCACATCACAGTGCACTGTGTGCCTTTAGATAAGAGCACCTGCACAGCAGAAAGGGTACACACTTTAGAGTAAAACCAGGGTTTAAATGCTATTCTATCACTTCCTACCTAGAGGATTTTAGACAAGACTTAATCTCAGTATCAGTTTATATTTCTGTAAAATGGAGATGATTCAGTTATGCCAACAAATATTTACTAAATATCTATTATGTGTCAAAGAGTGCTTTGCATGGGTTATTCTAAGATTAGAGATACTAAAACATAGCTGGTGTTCATTAGAGGTACGTATGGTTACCCAATTGCAAGAGCGGATGACCTAATAAAACAGAGTCAAAATCAGCAGACTGAAAACCAAGGGAGTTTCTAACAGGAAAGTGATACATGGGATACAACGTGATGTGAGGTCCATCTGCTTTCCAGGGATTAACAGGTTATTGGTATTTTCATTATGAATCTTTATGTGTTTTCTCTAGTTATTTCAATTAAACTCAATCAAGTGCTTTCTACAAAATTTATAAGGTAAAGTTTTGAGCTCAAATTCCAAAAGGTTGGGAGAAGGATATAGATGTATTAAAGATTTGCCAAGTTGCTTTCAATTCAGAAGTTTTTCAAAGACATCCTTACAAGAAGACCTTTTTTTTTTGTATATTAGTTTGATGGCTAGTCTAATCTACAAATGAAATAAATTCTTTGAATCAGACTAGAAAATCAGAATGGAAACAAAAACCATGAAATTTGGAAGGAAGAAAACTATAGTTAGAGCCTCAACTTTCCTCATTTGCCAGTCATGCCACTTTGAAAAAGTCTCAAGATTTCTGAATCTCTGTTTTCTCAGGAGTAGAATGAGTTTCATAACAACTCTTATCTACAGAATTATTGTAAGGCTCAAATGAAATAACTGTCATAAAAATTACCAGTAACCTACAAAGTACGAAACAAATATAAATCATTTCAGAGTGAGTGGAAACTGAAAATGATCTCAAGATACATCTTCTAGTGAAGATATTTGTATGGATAAATGATAAAAGGTCTGCAAAAATTATCCTGGCTGGTCATTTGTAGCCACACAGTAATAATTTTGCTTGCTTGTTAATGAAGAAGGATCACTGGACTTCATAGCTGATAAGTAATAGTCATCACTAAGTATTATAGAAGAAAAAACATTTATGGATAAGGCCACTAAGAATAAAAAACAAATCTAAAATGTGGATGAATTTGTAAAATAAATCAATAAGATATGTTAACCATAAGTCAAAGTGTCTAGAAATGCCTCTTTTTGTGAGGAAAATTTCCTAGTCACCCATGTTTTTAGGATAATTTTAATTTCATGTGCCGAAGTCCACCTGCAGATTGTTATTTCTATGGAGGATTTAACACAGTGCCAAGTGTACTACTAAGATTAAATAAACTTATTGCTGATATGTTGTTACTAAAAAATATACAGTGATTTTTTTAAAACAAAAATGAAAATTTGAAGATTGTTTTATATGCAACAAAAATACATACTTATAAATTTTTTAATCTAAATGTGTGAGGTGTAAAACTTTCTTACTCTAGTAACTTTAGTAAAAACCTCTTCACCATAAAAATAAGCAAAATAAAAGATATAGCACTGAAGTAGATTACTTCTGCTAAAATGGTAATCACATTATTATTTTACAACCAGCTATTATTTTGAGTAGGTCTAAAAATCAAAAATCCTGGACTAAGTGACATAAAGATCTCTACAGAGATGCAATGATACTGTGATGGGGAAGGAAATGTAGTGATGAATAGAAATTTTTAAACATGCAAGTGTTTAACACAAATGTATAGGTAAATTTACCAGAGTGATGCATAGAGCAGCCGACTCTCAGATTTGTTAAGAACAATAAAACTCCACATTTTTAAACCTTACAAAATATTTTAATCCATCTTTGAATCGGAGAATGACAAAGTACTAAACAGTGATTTCTACTGCCACTGCTCAGTAAAAGAAAACACAATTTAGAGAGCAATGTCAAAAAAGTAATTTCTTCTTACCATGAATAGATCCCACTGACCATGTCATAGTTCTGACATGAATCATTCACGCTGCTGGGCCCAGCTGCTTTAGAAATAAGTAGCACCACCAAGCCCCTCAACTGGAGGTTATTCCGGCTGTCTTGAACAAACCCCCTGCCAACAAGTAAGGAAAGAAGATTAATACACCCTCATAAGGTCAGATCAAGTTAGCAAATTGCTGCAAATATGCCCATATTTCCAAAATCAGACAATGGAACTTATTGAAAAGAAACAGGATTCAGAGAAGAAAGAGCTAATAGGAGGAAGCAATGAATTCAGAAAACAACTAGAGAAACCCAAGGCTAGTTTTAAAAGTGACGATCTCAAATTATGAGACTTGATGATCTAGCTTCCTCCTCTTTCTGGTTTTCCCACTGTCTATACCCTACCTTGCAGTATTAACCATTTGCTCTGATAACAAGAGGAATCCATAGTTTTAAATTGCTTGTGGTAGTTGATAGCAACTGACATACAAACCAAGTGGCTGCGACGAAGAGATATTATTTGGTGATGGTGTTAAGGGGGAGTGATAACAAAATGATTTCTGTCTTCACAGGTAGAGAAGAAGCTGAGAGAATAAAAGGTTTAAACTTAATCCAAATGACTTAAAAATGTATTTGAGAAGTAAAATGGAAATGAATGTAGTGAGCAAATATCTTGCCTTTTCCTATTATTTATGCAAAGCATTATCTTTCTGGACAACAATAAGGCTTCAACTTAGAATGTCATAATTTTTCTTATGAGGATTGAAATTTTACAATTTTTACAATAACTAAAGCCAGGAGTACTTTCCAGGAATATATCGATTTTTTTTTTAAAGATTGCAAATATTTGTCATATAAAAACTAAATGGCATCATTCAAAAAAGAAAGAAAATTGTGGGCAATATATTGTAATAAATATTTAGAACAATATTCATGAGCACTAATCAAATAGATTATATTGCAGAACACATAAATAATATACAAATATAATTCTTGAATGTGGTGAAAAACATTAAAATGTTGTATTATAATACTTCATTGAATTCATAAGACTTCTTTGGTGAGTTTTGAACAAAGAACCAATAGAAGTTTTAAGTTAACTAAGCCAAAATTAATGAGTTAGTCCATTAGTTAAGAAAAAAAATCTTCACTCCTCATGCCTCTAACAGAAAATTTTAAAAGGGTCCCTTCTTACCCTTTCATTAGTTTCAAAATAAGAGAGATCTTCAAGCTCTCTGCAAAGTAAAAGTTATAGCTCTTTCTCTAATTATATTTTCTTCTCAATCTAGTAAGTGATCTTCAGCAAGCTGGAAGGGTTAATGATTTTTAAAAAGAAGTTCTAACTTCCTAGGAAAGGCAGTTAAATTAAGGTAATTAATGCTATGTCACAGTAGAAACAAATAATCATCAGAAATGCCCAAAGTTTTTTACTATGATGTAACAACCTACTTAAATCCTATAGACCCATGAACTGCAGGGAGGCTGGGAAGCATCCTATTTTAAAAGAAGAAAATGTAAAATGGGAGCTCTTTCTAAATTTTTTGCTTTAAACTACAAATTTTAACTTAGGCTACTAGATCTTTATTTATGTATTACCTTATTACCTAAGATGAATCTTTGTATTTTTCATTCTTGTAATATAATATTAAAGAGAAGATCTGAATAGGTTCTTAATTCGAGAAAGGGAAAAGAGGAGGCTGTGTGTGTGTGTGTGTGTGTGTGTGTGTTGGGGTTGAGTCTGGTTAGGGATGAAGGATATGATGACACAGTAAGAAATCTAAGAGGCTAACCTTGAGACAAGTCTGACAGAGTTTGGCTGATGAAACAGCCCTGGCAACATTTCTGGCAACACTTTCTTCAAACTTCTCAGAGATGAGATCTTTCAAAAGGGACACACATATATACTAACAATAACAACAATAATAACAACAGCTGCAGCAGCGGCAGCAAGAAACACTTATATAGTACTTTATATATGCCAGGAACTATTCTAAGCATTTTACTACATACTAACTAAATTAATTCCAAACAGCTCTAAGAGGAAAGTACCAAAATTATCCTGGTTTTACAGATTAAGAGAATGAGGCGCACTGAGATCAAGCAACTTGCCTAAGGTATCAGAGCTAGTAGGCATTAGAGCCTTGATAGAGCCAGGATTTGAACCCCAGCCAACTGGCTCTAAAGTCTACATACACTGGTAACTACTATTCTCTACTGACTCTTCATCTGCTTTATCTCATGTACAAAACTTTTGCGAAGTCAAACTAGAACAGTGCTGCTTTAGAACCAGATTTGAAAATCCTAACAGTCTCTAATTGTATGCCTCAGATTGCCACCTTTTCTATAAAATGAGATTAATAATGTCTACTTTCCATAGTCATTGTATGAAACAGGCAACATAGGTAAAGTATATAACACTGTGGAAGCACAAGGTAGTTGATCAAGTGATCAGAAACTTACATTCTCTTTCCTTATTACTTTTTTGCCATCTATTTATTTCTCAACTCCTATTTTCTCTTTCATCTACTTTGTTTTTCCTTAGATCTCTCAAAGTCTTCCCTACTGTACCAGCATATATAATTTCCTATAAATATTGTTCCCTTTTCTACCTCCAAAAATAACAAAAGTTAAGGAATTCTTCATCTCCCCCACCCCTACCCCTTAACATCATATATCATTGAAGCACGTGCCACTTTCAGAATGCATTAGTGAAAAGGCCAGGAAAAGAAACTATAGTGGACTGGTTAACAGAAATCAAGAGAGCAGTCAGAAAAGTACACCTTCTAACCATTAATTTTCACATAAGACAGTAGTTAACAACATAGAGAATAGATTAACAGCTTGAGTAAATTATATAATCATTTCCAAAACACCACTTCTTTAAATTCACTCCGTTAACACCCTTAAAAAGAAGTCCTAAGATAACCTGATAATGTCCACAGCTCAAAAATTAACTCACAACCAAAAGAGAACAAGAAATTTTTCTCTGAGCATAAAAAACCCCAGGGTTCTAAATTTACAGAGATATTATGTTTTATATACTCCAGGTCATACTTTACCTGGAACACTATGACTTATTCTCAGTGCCTCTTAAGGAGGCACTGACAAGCTAGAGCATATCCAAAAGATGGTGAAATCATATACTGCCACATGCTTGTCTGAAATAAACAAACGATGGATGCGAGCTTGGAGAACGGTGAAGGTGGTGATCTCAAATGCACTCAGTCAAAAATACAGTGAATGCTTACTATGTGTCAGGCACAGTGCCAAACAGAGGAATGACATGATGAGCCCTGGTGAACTGCGGTCTCCTTCTATGTGAAAAATACACTCTGGATTAAAAATCATAATAAAATGTGACATGAGCTACTTTAGGAGATGAACAAGGCCTGAGAGAGCACAGAGAAGGGCTAACTAACATAACTGGAAGTAATGAGCTGTGAAAGAGACCTCCCTGAGACCTAAAGGATGAGGAAGATGTAGCCAGGGGAGCTGAAGCAGGTAGAGGACATAAGACAAAAAAGTGTTCCAAAGAAGACACAGCCTATGTAAAGGTTTACAGGAGAAGGAGGAGGACACAGCTATTTCCAGAATCAATACAGCAGGAACATAGTGTGTGAACGGAAGAGTTGAGAGAAGTAAAGCTAAAGGAGTCCACGATGGCTGTCTATTAATTTGAAAGGGTCCATATGGATAGCTGACAGGCCCAGTGGGTATCACTTTAGAGAATGACTCATGGATAGAGAAAACAGTAGGCTAATTTTGGCTTAACATGAAGAAACCAAAAAAGAGTAGCCTCTGTTGATGCTGAGTCCCTTATTAATAGAGATGTTCAAGAAGCTTCAGAGCCTCTGACAACACATTAGAGAGAGCCTAGACTATTTGATATCAGAGCTTTTTTTATTATTCTATCATTTGTTATGATCTCACTTGACTACATTTAATTATCTAATATTCTATTATATATAATAGGTATAAAAATTGGAATGATCCTTTATTGTCACCCAAATGGCATAAGTAAAAGCAATATTTAATATTTTGTAATCTTTATCACCAAAGTTCTATAGAACTGTGTTTTTTAACTAATATAAACAAAAATTTATAACTCATTCATTCATTCAACTAATATAGACTGCACACCTTCCATACATCAGGCACCGTGGTAGATACAAATGCGATGGTGAGCAAAACTAGGCACAAAGCTTGTGGAGCTTACAATCTAGTGGAAGAGACTGGTAATAATGAAAGAATCACAAATAAAAATAAAATTATAGTAGCAATAAACGTCACAAAGAAAAAAGAGAGATGCTGTGAGAGTTTATAATTGGAGAACTAACCTAGCCCGTAAAGTCAGAGGTTTCCTTAGGAAGTGATAGACATAAAAGGGGGATGTGGGGAGGGAACAGGTAAAGGGAGGGTATCCGCAGCACAAGAACGAGCATATGCAAGGCTGAGAGCACTGTACAAAATGAGGCTAGAAGCAGACAGGGACAGGATCACAAAGGTCAAACGGGCCATGATAAGAGGTTAACTCTTTATCCAAAGAACAATGAGAAGCCACTGCAATATTTTAATAAGCAGCTAGTGACATAATCAGATATTTTTAAAAAATAAACCAAAAAAGAAAAAATATCCTCTATTGTCAGTAGAAAAACAACTTGGGTAGAAGGGGGAGGAGGAAAACAAGTGGATATGAGGAGACCAGTTAGGAGGCTTTTGCAGTAATCAATGAGAAATATGGGGTAGCTTAGTAGACAAAATAGAGATGGACTAAATCTAAAATAATATTTCAATTCAATTTGAATAGTTGTTGGAAACTACGTAGTCTTGGAAAACTAGCTCAAGTAGATATATCACTAATTTTAAATAATATCATCCTGAAAAATCTGTAAATTGCATTTTGGAGGGAAAACACTTGGCTCCTCCAAATTCTCCTCTAGATCTACAATAGATGAACAGTAAACATAAATATTCTAACAGCTATACAATTTCATGGAAATAAGGACTGAACGAATAGGTGAAACTTTGTGTGATGCAGTTTTTTATACTCTTCTCACATTACGGTTTCTATGGCTAACTGCAGTTCTCACTACATCATCATATCTTCCCACAACTATTAGTTAATTTCTT